ATCTTTTGGAGAAGACCAAAAGTACTCTCTCTCTCTCTCTCTCTCTCTCTCTTTCTCTCTTGGCACATGAAGCCACGGTACGAATAAGGAAAGCGATGAAGAAAAAGAGGCAACTGCATTCCGTTCAGACGACGTTATTTGCACGAGAGGCGCAACGCGCGTCTCGGTGGTGCAAACAACCGATAAACATGCACGCTGCTTTGTCATCGCAATGTGGCAGAAACCGTCTCGTTCGGTTTATTTGCGAAACGATAAGCCCGCCGCGCCGTTGCTGCGATCCATCCCGCCACTCTTTCGCCAAATTTTCTTTTTCATCTTCGGCCTCTTCGAGGAGAGGCGTTTAACACCGCGAAGAATCTTTCGAGCAACCGTTGAGCAATAAACGAGGCAGAAATCTTGAAACATCTATGATTTTACGAACTCTTTTGGATTATTTCGCATAAATTTTTGCAAACGTCTTTTTATTCAGATTTCGACAAAAGTAAATGTAATTTCAATTACATATATATATAGACCATTTTTATTCGAAATAATAAAATTGTAAATACGTAATTGTTAACGATACTGTTACTAACAATTGTACTAATAATTATAAAACGATAATTATGAAAATAGAACAAATAATTATTGAAAAAAGAAGTAGAATTTTAATTTACAATTCTTAACTATATAAGATTTTTATCTATTTCTGTCTGTATATAGTTATCATAAATCATGATGGATTCAAATTAATAGCTTCTAATAATATTGCTATTAATTATAAAACAATAGTCATAAAAATAGAACTATTGAAAAAGGGAAAACACGATTTACAGAAAGCAGAATTTCAATTTAGAATTCCTGGCAAATACTTTCGCTCGATTAACAAAAAATTTCGTTGCTAATCGTCCGGCAATTGGCAAGACATGTTTCGAAGGAAATGATCAAACGGTGAAACTCCTGTTCGCGAAACCGCTTTTGTACTCTGTTTCGTGTCGAGGCATCTCTTTTCGGGGAAACGTTTCTAAAGATAGAGAGACACGTTCGAATCGCTCTTAACACGTCCAAGCACGGACCGTTCCTAAAGCTTGCCTCTATACAGAACTAATTTGTCGCGACGATTCGAGAATCGGGCAGATTCGCGTCAATCACGTTTAATTGTGGCCGAACATCTGCGCGACTGCACACGTAGCCAATTGTATCCAATGATAAACAATGAAATACACGCGAGATAAAGACTCTCGCGTGCCTTTCCCTCGTTCGATCGATCGTTATCGCTTCGCCTCCTCTGAGAAACTCGTTCAATGTCGCTTATCGATGATAAACCAAAGTAATCCCCTCCCTTCTCATTAAAATTCCTTCTATCCCGCGTTTTCCCTTCGTAAATTATCGCCAGAGATCGTTATCGTTCGCTCGATTGTTTGAACGAGTAAATATAACACTTCGAATAATCGAAATCTTTGCGCTTTAAAGTTTTCCGATTAATTTACTGATTTTGAACGGAGATATGATATCAAACGCAATATTTTTTTTTAAAGTATCTATCTCTTAAATGTAGTATTTAATATTGCCAATTGGCCATTTTATTTATACTTATTTATAGTCTTTATTACTAGATAATTCCTTCCATTTTCTTAATCAGAAAAAACTTAATTTTGCATAAAACTCCACGGACTACTTATTACTACTTTTTCTTTCTTTTCTTTTTTACCATTTAGAATACTATTATACCAAATTATTTTCACTTTCCACGAAACACTCACCGTCCCAAAAAGTGCCAAATTACAACTATCGAAAATACGCACCTACGTTCTTTCGTATTACGAGGAATCGCTAATATAGTTTCACACTTCGACGAACATTCCTACACCCCAGAATAAACACTCGCGGTCCCAATGTCCACATAATCCATCCGCCAGATGCGCTAAAGGGTTAAAAAGGCGCGAGGCCTGCCTAGATTCCGTAACGGAAAAATCTTTCAGTTCGCAAGGTTCGAGCGAGGAATCTGAATCAGAGAGATCACGGGGTCGAGCAATCGGGTCGATCACCCACGCATCGAATAGCGGAGAGAGGATTGGATTCGCTTACCGATTAATCGAAATAGCCTCATCTCACGGCGGCCAACACTGGAACTCTTTCGAGCTTCTTCTTGGATCTTGATGTCGCAGCGACGACAAGGGCTCAAGGTCACGCGTTAACAGACAGAAAGAGAGAGAGAGTGGAGGGACAGGCGTGGCGCACGCCGAAAACCTCTATTGTACACTGGCGGCCGAGGAAACAGAGGCGACCGAGTGGAGAGGAGGATCGAAGAAACGCGGCCGGTTCGCGGATCAGGAATATGATGCCACCTTGGTGAAAGCCTCCGCGAAGAAGAGGCTCCCTTGCCGCACCGAGTGCCGCTCCCGCTAAGCGGAAGATTATCTAAATAGACTCCGTGCTACCAGGCAGAAGAGAGAGGGAGAACGGTGGCCGGGGAGAGAGAGGAAGTCGAAACGAGGTGGTATTTATACGTCGTGTCTTTTGGAGAGCCGGTGAATCTGCGACGAGGAACATCCCTAACAGCGAGGGAAGAGAGGAATATCGCTTCGTTTCGTTTCGTAGAACAGCTTCGAGACGTTTTTCACGGGTTTTCTTTATCGCTTGGAGAGAGTGAAGAATGAAAATTCGAAACGTGCGCTAATGTTTAAGCGAGTTTTGCGCGAAGGAACGTGATATTGGTAAGGGTAATAGAGGAAATACCACACACGGAGTGTACAAAAATGGAAGCAAAGCCAATAGACAGCCAATGACCTGAAGCGACAACTTGGCCTCTCTATCGAGTATTATCAGAAAAAATTATATTGCCATTATAATTATTATTTTAATTTTCTTTAAATTGCATTATTATTCATCTAGGATTTTGTAAAAATTTGTAAATTATCGTTATATACTTTTATAAGTATTTTTGCGTGGCTAATATATTCTCGCATCCTTCTAATAATTATCGTACAGTATCGTATTATAAGCTGTAAACTGAACTAATAGGTAAAGAAAATTGGAATTATCGCCGGGCAAATAAATTTATTGGCGGGAAACTGGTTAAATATTCGTAATTGATAGATTATCGAACGTTGATTCTTTTGCAAAAAAACAGAGGAGAAAAGAAAGGAAGGAATAACGATCGCATAAACGATACTGGGCTTAAATTGATTCTTCACGCACGATTGAACAGGATACCGTGCTAACGATCATCGTGAAATAATTCTAAACAGTATCTGGAATCCTATTACGATTTTCATTGCTCCAATGAAATCATCGATATTCGTGGATAGTGTAATATTCCTCGTATTATTTCCATGTATATGGAATTTTCGAGAATATAGAGAATATAGAGAAAGAAATTCAGTACTCGGTAATTCGAGGTGAAAAATCTTGAACGAACATTTCCACACCTGTCTTGATACAGCTGCCAAAACCGATCGCTCGGTCTGAATTTCTCGGTCGATGACGCAACATCGTGAACACAATCATCGAAAAAACACGACTTGTGGCATTTGTTGAGACAACAGCGGGATATAATGTACATATAAGAACGAAGGAATTTGATCTTATTTACGCTTGTCGTGCACGGAAGTCGAAGCGAGTGTTACAGGCGAGTTTCGAGGAATTAAATCCTAGAAGGCAAGAAATTACGAGAGATATATTCTAATCAAATTAATTATTATTTCCAATTCTTTTAAAGAGAGGAAAAATTATCAAATAATAAATACACTGCGGCAAGAATTAAAAGTCTAGATCACCATTCCATCCAAATCAAATCTATAATACTTAATGAAAAGTCGTTGTTCACAATTCAAATTCGAAATCCTAATGAAAATAAAAGTATAAAATAAGTATCTGTATAAAAGTATCTGTAATAAAAATGAAATAAAATATCACACAAATGTGTTCAAGAAGATCGAAACGCAATATCCGTTACGATTGTCTCTCAAATTAAAAATAATTCAAAGTGTGATGAAAAGGGGACGTAAATCAAAACGATCCCAACATTCAGCTATCAAACTCTTTGATGATTTATCGTCCCTACAATGATCCTCCTATGAGACGAGGAGAAGAAACGTGGCAGCGCCCCGTTACGGTTCGTCTTAATGGGCCACGATGTTAGAGGGGCACGAGGAGAAGGTCGCACACGCATCCTCTCGATGCACAACCGACTTCTTTCCTCCCCCGTAGGAGGAGAAGACAACCGCGACGCGAGGAACGGTTCAGGGCTTCCGGCATCGGCGAGATTACCGGCAAACTTCGACTTTCACCGATCGATAAAAAATCTCCATCTTTTCCGCTCGAACAACGGCGCAGGACGATCGAACATTATATTCATAAATAGCGGACCAACGTGCTCCATTGTACTTTCTCGTGTGATTATCGTGTGGCCGAGGCTCGTTCCACGAAAGGATACGCTTCGTGATCCCGCTACATACAAAAGGAGGATACGAGATTTTAACAGGTGGAGGTATTTAGCTTAGGAACGATTGTTCAACGAGATTTTATTTGGCGAATCGAGCGTTGTTGAATTGTGTATCGTGCGAGTTGTTGGTTGAATCGATGTTCCATCAATTTTCGTTAAATTGATCGATAGAGAATTGATTTACGCCTTTCGAGGGAGAATTCTTATCTTATATGAGGATAACTCTAGCGGATGATCTATTTTAATCGAGAATATTTTAAATATTCTTTATTTTTCGATGTGTTTTGATTCTCGTTAAATATTGAAATAATCGATAATATAAATCTGTCGTAAATAACGAAATAGTTCTCGAATTCTACGCACAATTCAGGTTCATTAAACTTGACTTTATTTTCAATTTTGTTCACGCTTGATCCAAGATGCAAAAATATCAGCTCGTCAAACACAACTCTTGTTGTTAAATGTATACGATTAATATACGACAAATATCGAGATACGAAAAAGAAATATTTGTATATTTAATAAATCTTTCGATTAAGATTGCAACAACGTGTGTATATATTTATATACTTACTCCTGCAAGGGTTCGAAAACTCTTTCCCGGATGCCATCCACGTAATTCCGCTCGAGAAAGTATTCCCGTTCGATCGCCGTGCAGATATCCATAACAAGCACTTCCTCGGCCGGATGATATTTTCGTTCGCGCGGAATTATCATCGACACCTTTCCACCGATGATAACACAAGAAATCACAACTCGCACTTCGAAACAGAAATTTTCCTCGCCGATAAACCTGTCCTCGTCGTGGCGCTTCTAGCTTTCGAACGATCGTTAAATCGACGTCGTTCGATCCTGAACATTACTCGGGATCGACGAGTAATAAACGTTCCGCGCAAAATCTAGATGTTCCACTTTTGCCTCCACTCCGTTCGTTTTTCTTTTTTCCCCTTTAATCTCCTTCTAAACCGATTTCCGTTTCGAATCGATCGAAAAGAGACATTGGACTGGCTCCAATTAGACGGTCGACCGTGATCGAAACGTTTATTGAAAATCTCTTTAGAGCCAGATTCCAGATTTCTCTACGCACCGCTCGCGCTAGCCTTATCGTTGGCGAGATAATATTATCGTAATATCGTGTTTTTTATTTCTTCTTAGATCGCGAACGATAAACAAATTTTCGTACGCACGAAACGTCTCTCTGTCCTCGTTTCCTCGGGTCGCTAGTTTCATCAGAGAGGTAATCTTAAAGTCAATGTGACTAGATTAGCAGATCACGAATCGGTTTTTTGCACCGGTAGATCGACACACACACACACACACACGCACGGAGATATATATATATATATGCACGCGCGTATATGTGTTCACACAACGCGTACACAACAGGTATCAACTCGAAGGCATTCTTCACGATTCTTCGAGCGCGCGCGAGATCGCTTTTCACTCCGCTCTTTAATTAATCACGAATGCACTCGGGGATTAAACGAACGGAATGCGCGACGGCTACCATCCACTTTCACTCGAGCTCGACTTTTTTTCCTTTCCACAGAAGATGGATTTTCGGCGGCTCGTTAACCGAGGAGCGAGTCGAGGATCAAGAACGTCGAGAAAGAACGTCGTCGACGACGCGCACACCACCATCACTACCACCACGATTATAAATAATTTCTTTTTCCTTTTCCTTCCACTTGGCTCCGCCACCTTTATCTTAATCGTATATACGTAGGTGCACGCGTATCGCTTTTATCAGCTCACGACAGAGAAACGACACCGTGAACGTTTTGATTTGCCTGTGGAGGAGAGGCACTCGGCTCGCCCCCTCGCCGCAACATTAATCTCGTCCACTTACCGGACGAGAGGAATTGTATTCCGTAACAGTAGCATATTAAAAGATGCTAATGCGAACCACTTAAACCAGTTTCGCCGAGAAAACCGACCGTCTCTTTCGTACCGATTAATCGATTAATTGGCCGAGCACGAGAGCGGCGAACGGAATCGATCGGCGAGAACGAAATGTCTGCTTTCCCCTGTTTCCAAACGTTCGAGCTTTCCTTCCCCTTGAAAGCTTTCAATTTCTAACGAGCATCATCGGTCGATGATCATCATCGTCCTCTAAACCGCTTAACCTCTCGCTCCTTCCAGCTCCTTAAATTCCTCGAGTGCACATGTACTTACTTACGAGTCCGCCCCCCCCCTCGAACTCGTCCAACGCAACGTAGAAGGATTCGATTCGCGAAAGAGGAGAGAAAGAGAAAAAAAAAAAAGACGACGCGACACCGCAGAAAAAGAAAAAAGAAAAAAAAAAAATCCTTCGAAACGAATCGAATCGCACAACAATCGTGATCTTTTTATTCCAAAAATCTTGAAAGCAAATCCATCCAGAGGAAATGGTGTAAATCTTAGAACACTGATCGTAGAAATCATCACCAGTATCGCGTACACGTTTCTCGACCCGGTGTGCACAAATCCAGGAAAACCCACACGCACACACACGCACACATGCGCACACACGCAAACACACCGAGGATCTTGATCTATCGCGTTCCACCACGGGCGAATCGAGTTCCACGAGTGTCCACCGTGTCCACACCAGGTTTAATTAACGATCGTTGGAGGAATGGAACGGAATACCAACGGCGACGACGGCCAAGTGCGCTCCACGGATCCAGACGTTGGGACCGCTCGGCGACGCTCAACCGTTCTGGTGTAATCGAGGCGATATACACACGGCCGATGCGGTTTCACGGCAGGGAAAGAGAAGGAGTGACTGGGCGAGACAGAGAGAGAAGAGAGAGAGAAGAAGAGAAGAAGGAAGAGAGAGAGAGAGAGAGAGAGAGACGGTTTACATCAGATCAGCCGAGACACGCTGCACGTTCACAGCCGAGACGACAGACCGATCGAGAACGTATCTCCGGTGGGCCGGCAGAGCACCTCGACGACGAGTTGGAGGCCGACAAATCGGTGCACGGATCCAGCTGGGCACCACGAAGCTGGCCCGATTCGACACGAGAGACCATGGCGTATGTGCACGAGCCGAGCCACGGCACGAACCGGTGCGAAGGAAACCTTCGAGTCGTCGCGAGAGAGTATGCGAGAGAGACCCGAACGGGGCCCAATCTCACTAGAGGGGACCTCTATAGCGCCTTTCCCCTAACTCCGACCGTGTGCGCACACCATGTTGGAATTTTCTTCTTGTTCGCGTTCTCCTCCGCCTTTTTTAATCACCTTCCTCCTGTCCAAGCCTCGCTTCCTTCGAAATATCTCTTTGTCATCCTGAAGCGAGCGATTCGAGGATGATTTGAAACGAGGGTGAAGAATTCGTGTATCGTGATTTGATTTTGATTTGGAGTAGAAATATTGATCGAACGATAATTTTTCGATAATTTTTCAACGGATTATATACGCGTGTTTCGTGCTCTTGCTTTTGGAAACTGTTTGCTATGGGTATGTATTGTGAGGTGTGGGCTTCGTGTTTTGGCGGGAATGAATTTAAAATTCAAGCGTGTTATCGATGCGATATATGGATCGATGTCACGGTGTTTTTTCACGGTGTTTATTATAATTCTCGGTTGTGACGATGTTACCTGATCGACGAGGCGAGCTTGCACGGTGTCCAGAATAACAGAGGATGAAATAGCAGAGCAAAGTAACGCGAATTCGTCGACACAAAAGGAGTCGACTATATCGCGTTTCCGATAACTCTGATAACTTCGTACATGAATTAGTTCGCCGGGCGGTATAAACATTCTATCGTTTCAAGAACAGTGATTCTAACAATCATCTCTATTTCCATTTACAAAGCGAATCGAGAATCGATCCAAGGAGCAACTTTATGAAGAAATTACATGCACCTTCTTCTTTTATTCATGATCTTCTTTTGGAAATAAATTTTCGATCCCCAAATTGTTGGGATTGCACGCGGTTAATTTTAAATCGGTTGAATGATATTATAGTTTTTCTTCAAACGCAAAGTTGTTCCAACAACTTTTTGTTCGACCAATTCCTTTCCTGCAACCCGCGTGCCGCGTTAAACGAGCCTTCAAAAGCGAAATACCAATGCACGAAATTTAATTGCAGTGCACGGTAATTCATTTTGCACACGCGTAACGTTTTGATATTTAACTCTTGATATATAAAAAAAAGAAAAATCCATAAAATTAAAAAATTCCATTTAAAATAAATTTTTAATTTTACTCGTCGCCTTATTTCTTTTCTCGATATTTTCCATAAAACTTTTTTTTTTTTCTTATCCCGTAAGTAATATTTCACATTACGTGCGTAAAACTTTGGTCCCAAACTAAATCGCAGTTGAATAATTAAGAATAACGATAAAATTTGTTTTACTTCTTTGGTTTCTTAATAGGTTTTCCACAGAAAACCTTTCTATTTCTCTTGTTCGAAGTTAATGTTTTTTTTTTTTTTTTTCTACAAATTAGACGTATACGTTCACAGTAAATGAAAATGATTATGAATATTCAAATTGAACGCAAAATCTTAAAATCTCTTCCTTATAGTTACAACAGAGTAGATGCATCGATTTATTATCCCTTGATTTTCTGTAAGCATGGATAAAGTCACGTGCTGGTTGCTCATTTAAAATCTGTTGGTGTTGCGTTCACTAACTGCGTAAAGACGATGCCACGAGACTTACCATTCACGAGGTTGGGATATGGCTTCAAGAATGGAAACGGCGGCAACGTTGTGCGCGATGCTTTCGAACCGGCATCTAAATTGAGAGCCAGTTTAAAGCTAATTTATACTTACGCTAAGGTTAAGATGAACTGTCATATTATAATTTTCGGGACAAACATTAATCTTCTTTTTGGTGTCTCGCAAACATCACGAGAACGTACGATGAATCTGTAAATGTCTTCAAGGTCTTCTCTTTATATCACCAAACATTCGCGCGAAACGAAGGAACGAAGGAATTTCAGAAATTTTTAATCTAATATTCTTTCACAGATCGTACAATCTTTAACTAAAAAAAAAAAAACTTCTCTTACAGCGTACAATTTAATTAGATAATAAAGATCATCTGTTATACGACCGCTTTCTTCTAAATTGTCAAGAAACCAACATATGATATGGCGAATTAATCTTAGAAAATGATTAAGACGGTTGAAGGAAGTCGAACAGAGAATTCTGATGATCCAATTGGATTAAGTAGCCTCTTATATATTCATACATACATATATTTATAGCTTTTGGTCTAGACTAAACTCCTCGAGTCACTGTCGAGACTTATCCGTCCAGAACTAGACGGATACTATATATTATTATAAAAGATCACATATATCCACTGTTTTTATTCTTTCTATACGTCAACATAGCGCGATCCTCTTCCCTCGAGAGATTACTAGCAACGGATGCAATATTCACGATCCCCTTGACATTAGATACACCTACAATAACGAGTCATAGCACGTACTCGCAGATCGAGTGCCAACTATGGTATAAATTCTTCTCGTTACAGTAGCTCTGATCGAAGATACTATTACTTCTATATTATTCTTGAAATTAATCCACTTGTAATATATATTCAGCGATTCTTTGATATATACATGTATATTTCCTTATATTCGTACGATTATTTCATATATTTTAAGTTAGTCTCCATACAAAATTTTATATATACAAATGCAAATAAAAGAAAAATACGATAATTTATGTTGGAATTATACAATTATGTTGATACACAATTGAATTACGATATTTCGTTACGCAATCGAAATACGAAAACTACGATCATCTCGTTCTCCCGAGATGAATACCTCGTCCATTACGCAGTACGCTATTGTGTTCGATGACTATAGGAATTTAAAAGGCTCGCGCGAGTTCTGCAACGTTCCATTGAATCGTGGGCCTCCTCTGATATTCCGTTATTAGTGAACGAATCGAAGAAATTACCGAGCACGTATCGTTTACAAAACAACAAACGAGCGGTTGTTTGCAATGCCTCTATCACTTAAATGGAACGAGTTATATATTTTGATAAGCATTTATATATCTATACATGCTAAGCCATAGACCACGAAAATTAATTGGCAAACAAATTCCGGTGTTTCACGGTCTCTTGACATTATTACTGCGCCTATAACTCTATTGGTTCATGGGTTTCGCTGTTCATAATATTCGATGTATAACCGATTAAGTGAAAGCTTTCTGTCCTGTTGTACCAGCCTTAACATTTGGCGTAGTCAAAGGCTATCGGTTCTTTTTTTCTTCGCGACTATATTATCAGTCACAGATCTTATCTGGTTTCAGGCAGTTTATTTACATTTGCGGTACCAAAATGGCTGCTTGCCGCGGAAACCGCATCCAAGTAATTCGAAACCATTGAACTACATTTTCCACGGGTTAATCACCGACAATGCTCGACTCTTGGTAATATGCATATTAACTTCGATACTTTCATCCTTGCATTGTCAAGGTACGGCGCATTAAACTATTCTTTCATCGTTAACTGCCATCAATGGTTGCGAAACGCGTAAGATTTTATTCGCTGTTTGTGGTAAAAACAATTGCTTTATGCAATATCGTAAAAAAATTATTGGTCT